ATTTGTCAAAAATTAACAGCATCCCAGCACTCAATAAATATTAATTCACTTGAACAAAACAAAGTAATTTGAAGAGAACAATTTTTTTCAAAGAATAAATTTAACCAAGGTGGAGTCTAGATTCTAATCTTTAAGACTAGAATTCAATAGTTTATGGTTTATTTCACTCACCTAAATTATACAATATCTGATAGGAACCTCATCTAACACTTTAAGGAGGAGCAGAAGTTAGCAAATATCTTAATGAGGAATCCTAATGGGTTTTTTGTTTTGTTTTTGTGTTTTTTGTTTTTGTTTGGGTCCGGTCGTGGGGCCTGAACTCTGGGCCTGGACGTTGTCCCTCAGCTCTTCAGCTCAAGGCTAGCGCTCTACCACTTGAGCCACAGAGCCACTTCAGGCTTTTTTCTTTTTTGCTTATGTGGTGCTGAGGATTTGAACCCAAGGCCTCATGCATGCAAGGCAAGCGCTCTACCACTGAGCCACCTTCCCAGCCCAATCCTAATGTTTTTTTATGTCATAACATTCTAACATTTTCAGCTTATAAACATAAACTGCCAACAAAATTGTGTCACAGATACTTTACTTTTTTTTTCAAGGGTACTTCCTAAAATGCTGTCAGAAAATGAGAGAGAGACAAAGACAGAAAGGCAGAAACAGAAACAGAGATCTACTTTTTTTTTCGGTCGGTCATGGGGCCTGAACTCTGGGCCTGGGCGCTGTCCCTCAGCAATACAACCCAAAGCTAGTGCTCTACCACTTGAGCCACAGTGCCACTTCCAGCTTTTTCTGCTTATATGGCGCTGCGGAATCGAACCCAGGGTCTCATGCATGCAAGGCAAGCACTCAACCACTGAGCCACCTTCCCAGCCCAGAGAGATCTACGTTTAAGTGGTAGGTAAGGGGAAAATGCTGTCTACAAAAAGCTTTTCTTCTTCCTCTTCTGCTAAGCTATAAGGAACCACAAAGACATTTCTGTACTCCTATTGGCTCCTAAAGCCTTGCTACACACAAAAGTAAGCCACCCTCAAGTTTAGGAGACATGGAGAAACTTCACAGGTTTTATAGGGTCACTCATAAGTGTTGAAATATTTCTTAACATAAAGCCAGATACTACACCCAACAAAGAAGATGTCAATTCCTATGACTGTCCTGAGTCCTTCATTAAATGCATGCATGAGGCCCTGGGTTTGATTCCTCAGCACCATATAAGCAGAAAATGCTGGAAGTGACACTGTGGCTCAACTAGTAGAGCACTAGCCTTGAGCTGAAGAGCTGAGGGGCAGAGCCCAGACCCAGAGTTCAGGCCTCAAATAAATAAATAAATAAATAACAATAACCATACAAGTCAAAGATTATTCTAGTGGTAAGGGGGTGTGGCGCTGAAGAGAACCGACTCTTTGTGTCAGGCAATGTTCTACTACTCAGCTACACTCCCAGTTCTGATATTTGTTTTCTTTTCTTGTCTGAGACAAAGTCTCCCTGTTCAAAGGCTGGAACTTCGATTCTCCTACCTACCCTTCTCAAGAGCTAAAATTACAGATGTAGACTATCACACTTCAGATGTTGGGATTTCTTTTAATAGAAATTGCATTTATGCTGTTGAGATGCTTATAGAGTCAGAATCACAGAAGTGTATGTCATTGTTGTTAACATCACTTGAGAGTCTGCCATTGGCACAAAGGGCATCAAATGGGTTGTCTATACTGCTACCTTTGGCATGTCCAAGTTTAATGAGGCAGAAACCACCAGATGCTGCTGGCTTACTACCATTTATATGGTGATGACCACCCACTCCCTGCTACCACTGCCATCATCAGGATACTAAACTCTGCTAATGCATGACCCTAAGAGAAGTACAAAGACAACACCTAATATATATAACTAAACAGTAAAGCAAACTTTTTAAACTCTTTAAAGAATACTCATGCTGTGAAAACTATACTTTTGCTGATCATCTTGACTTTTTCAATATATTTGAATTTTTTTTTTACTGTAAAAGCAATAAGATACAAAGCTATTTGTCTTGTCTCCGTGATTTAAAATATAATTTTCATGTCATTGTTTTCAGGGTGAATTTTAACTTTATCTTTAAAAATACTAGATAACATATTTAAAGAGCACTCGGCATAGGTAGAATGAGGTTTTTAAAAGATTCCGTGTTAAAGAAAACGTATTCATCTATAAGAAGACCTAAGAATAAACTTTGATTGAAGATAAAATAAATGCAATGCTTTTTCATAAAGAAAAACCTTTAAGAATTGGATTATTATATTACTTAGTGTAAGAGATATAGAATAAAGCATTTTTAACTTGAGTATTAATCTTTTAGTAAGGTGATTTATAATAGTATAGTTTTTCACAACATCTCTACTTCCAGGTATTAAAAGAAGATGAAATCAAATCTTGAACTAATTTGCCCTGGCCTTAATAACTCCAGAAGTGCTTCTACTGTTTTCTTACTAATACAAGTCGAGATTAAAGACATAAACAGATATACACTATATATACCACATTAAATTGGTCTAATTAGAAATTTGATGACTCTTCCACTTTCATTGGTTTCTCACTGCCTACTCATCTCACATAAATGAATATAAACAATTCTCCTTCTTCAATTCTATTTACTGAGCTCAATTAACCTCATTAACTTTCACAATGTTCATAAGGAAAAATGAAGTATTAAGTTTGAAAACCTCACTGAAGAAATAATATCAAGGGAGCCAGTTTTGTGCTTTGTTTTGGTTTTTAATCTGCTTCCTTGGGTAGTTAAGCACTGTATGGGCCTCTTGGACCCTCTTACTCTGAAAACTGCAAGTTAAAAAATTAATCTTTTTTTGAAATTAATGGGAAGTTTAGCGGGTTTTGTGCTAAAAATACTAAAGGTGGCAAGAACCTTCAAAAATTAGCCCAGGATTCCATGTAAAGCCTTCATGAACACATAGAAGGAAAAACATATCCTGTCATGTGGAGAAGCAGTATGGTAGAACCTTCAAGTCTGAATTGTGATCACTCTAGAGGATCACTCTAGCATTCTGAGCTGGTAATGACATATGGAAACACTGTTGAAAACCAAGACCAAGACACAAGTTTTGAAGTTAGGTACAGAGAGAAAAGAGTGTTCTTAGCTATAGATCATCCTTGAAAATATAAAAATAAAATAAATAATAATAAAATGGCTTCAATACTGTAGCTGCCTCATGTTGTGTTCCTAGGCAAAGGCAACCAAAATTGATAAGGGCCTTGTTCTAAGCAAAGCCTTTTATCCAGAAGCTTATCTTGTTTCAGTCCACTAGTCTTTACAATTTATAATCCCATCAAAAGCAAATGTAGTTAATAATATATTACATTACATATAAAGTATAGGAGTTTGTGTTTCCAAATCATCAAAAAATCCAGAGGTCTAGGCAACCCCAGAGATCTTACAAAAGAGAAAATAGAGGCCTTGAGCTGTTAAACAAATCAAATATATATAAATACTAGTAGATTATGAATCCCAGGCACTAAATATTAACTTTATAGTATTTATGCAAATATAGTTTGCTACGCTTAATATAAATATGCATAATGCTCTTATTACCTAGAAATTACATAGTAATGAAAACACAAAAATATATTTAAGCATTTAATGAATTTTTAAAAATAGATGTTCCTTTGCTGTTTAGGAGCACCTTAGTTTTTTCCCCATGGACTTTTATGTGAAATTGAGTAAGAAGAGATGTAGACTATTGCAAAAAATAAATGTTCACACAGATGGTTTTCTCATTTGAGAACTAATCAATCCCATCCATCAAAAGTCTAAATTTCAATTAATTTCTAATTAGTCATAGAAGTCTATCCCTTCTTAACATTTATAAGCTTTTGATGATGGAAAGAATCTCAAATATCCTATCTGGATTATAAGTGTGAAAACTGATGAAGATATTTCATGACTGTGTCCTTACTATCTTATTCTGTGGACAGTGAAGGATGATGCACCTCTCATGAAAGAAGGATCACAGGAGAACATAAGTGCTTCTCCATTATGATGCCATTCTAGAAAATAAGGCCATTTCCTGAGAGACATTCATAGTCTTAGCAAAATTGAGACCAACAGATCCTTCTGGCTTTCCATTCTACCAGAACCCACCAATGCATTGTGAAAACAGTGCTTTACCTACTTTACGGTCAACAATCAGTAAAATAACCTTTCAGTAGATAGATAGATACATAGATAGATAGATAGATAGACAGACAGATAGTATGAGCATGTGTTTTTCCCTTTTTGTTCAACTATAAACAATATGTTGTATAAATTGTAGGCCTTATTCAAATAGTAGGATAGTTTTTTTTTTTGAGACAAAATCTTTACCATTCTAAGAAATAATGTTTCTTGTTAAATTTTACTGCCTCTCCACCTGGCCAGTTTTTAGTTGGGACCGCCAAGAGATAACCCTCTCGGAGTAGCATATCTTAGAATGGGAGACTCTAAGAGAAATGTTTCTGTCATGATTTCACCAGAAAACCTAGTCTTGTTGATATATTATCTGTCTTGTTGGTAGGTTAGGTTAGTAAGGTTAAGCTATGTAATAAAAAGTATTGGGATTGGTGTTCGGGTTTGAATTATTCCTCCAAAATGCTTCTAAAGTTAAATCACACAGAAAGCACTGGATTTTAGATTCGAATATACAGAGGAGTCCTATGCAGTTCACTTTTGAAGGTGAGGCCAGCATTGTGTTACATAAAAAGGAGAAGTAGAGTATTATTAAGTGCACCCCTTGGTAATGTTGAAGAAAGTGCTCCCGGAGGGTGTGCAGACTGTAATGGAAATGATTTCAACAACCATTAGCTGCCAGGTTCACTCTCTCTGGGGCAAGATATGCTTTCATCCGTGAGTCTTCTCAGTACCTACACATAGTTTTCTAGGCAAATCTGCAGATAAGGAAGCTGTAAGTGGATAGAAAGGAGAACTTCACCAGGCCCTCGAAGAGTTAAGAAATCAAGTGTGGGTTTGTACTACTCACGGCTCTGCTTGGAGGCTCCTGTCCTCAGCCACGTAGTTAGAAGGAATGTAGCCCTGCAGTTGCTGGCCAAAGCCATCTCCCCTTTTCTCCAAGTGTCTGGCCAACCACCAGCCCTCATGAGAAGTGTCCAGGACTTGGAGTTTGTCGCCTGCATGGAAACTTAGGTCCTCTGCCGTCCGGGCATGGTAATCAAACAGAGCCACAAAGTAGTGGCCATGGCTTCTCTCTGGAGTCTGTTTTTGTGACACGGGGGCTTCAGGGGGATAGTGGGCCGCTGGGTTTGCAATCACCACCGACTTGTCAGCCTCTTGGGACAAGCAAGGGAGACAGGGCTGCAGGTATGCCCAGAGCCTCAAACAGATGTTGCCCATGGCGCCCCAGTGGGAGGAGGGAGAAAGGGGCTTCTTGCTCTGGGCGTCTGCAGATTCACTGGATCAGCACCAACTCACCATACTTTGGAGAGTGTGAAGAGTCCGGTTTCATAAGAGTCTGAATTCTGTTCTCGCCTGGAGAGACTCAGCACCTGGCTTTCTGGGTTCTGGCCCTCAGTTCCAGCCCCAGGGCAAAAGCCAGTCGGGACTGGGGGCAGCTGCTCTTCTTCCTGCCTGCTTCACAATCCCACAACAACAACGAATGAAATACAATTAAGAGAGCTCTATTTAGACGCACACAGGAGAATAGAAAGCAGTCACCTTTCCCACTGTCCTAAGAAAAAGTTAGCAAGAGAGGTATTCCCTCTAGGTAAAAAAAATTCTCCCAGCTTGGCCCAGGCCAGTCACTCTCACCCAACTTCAAATCTGTTTCTGTGGTTTCACCAGTCCTGATCCCAACTGTCCTTGCCTTCTCGCTAATGAATAACCAACCAGCTAGGGCTGCTGCCTTTAACATCCTGAGCTATGTGCAGACTGTAATCATTCCTCCTTACTTCCTGGTTTCCTTCAGTCCAGAATCTAAACCGGACTCCCTCTTCCCCCTCCTTTCTCTCACACCCATAATAGACCAGCCCCCTTACCAGGGAGCCAGACTCTTAAAGCAGCCGCCAAAATGTATACTGCTTTCTTTCACTCTGGAGAAACAGGCTAGCCCAGGTAGCTTTTTGTCTTGTTTTATGTTCCCAACATAAAACTTAGGACAGAGATTTTTTTTCCTCTCTCTCGCCACAAATAGGAGTGGGATTGTTTTGCCACCAGAAGAGAAAATGTAAAAAAAAGAAAAATTAGTGTGTTGAGGTATTGTTGCCAGACACAGGGCAATTGGGAGGGAGGGGGAAAGGAAACATTAAGTCCATTTTTCCCCAATCACCAGAAATAGATTTTAATAGCCTCAGAGTATATTCATGGTCTGGAAAAGTAAAAGAGCAGCTGAATAAAATGCTGAGAACCTGCAATGCTGCCTTTTCCCACAGAGACATTTAATTTACAATCTTTCATGAACTATTTTTGAAACACACACACACACACACACACACACAGGGTGAGTAGGTGGCCAATAGAGAAATAAGGCAACTCTCACTGTGAAGATTCTTATGGTTGAACATGAACACCCAGGTCTACATAATTCTTACTGTCTTGGTTGATTGCAGGAGATGGGGAATGAATGAGGCTGAAGTCTGGACAGCCATTCTGAAGCAGACAGTAGGTTTTGCACTACTTCCTCAAGGCAATCTTCAGCTGTTCCCTGGATTTTAAGAGCTACTGGACAAGAAGTTTAGACAGCTCAGCATACTGCCATTTATTCTACCAGAGAGCACTGCAAAATTGTTCCTGACATGCCACTTATTTTCCAACAAAACATTCATTTAAAAAAATATTCTCTCTTAGGGACTGGAATTGTAACTCTGATCAGGCTATACTTAACAGTCATGAGGCAGTAGGTTCAATCCCCAGGATTACACAATAAATGCTCTCTTAAAAACCAACTTTGTTAATAAGTGTTGCCCGAACCTTGAGCCTGGTTTTAAGACAATCTTAATCCTCCTGTACTTTGTCCAATTGTAGAGTATTTTCAGTAATTAAAATAATCAGATTCAAGGGAAAAGGAGGAGGGAGGGAGGAGAAGGAAGAGGAAAGAAGGCAGAAAGAGAGATTAACAGGTTGGGAAGAAAGGAGAGAAGAAGGGAGTGAGAGAGGGAGGAAGGAAGGAAGGCAGCAAACTATGGCCTTAGCTCCACCTGCTATTATTTCTTTGTTCTAGCTAGGCACCAATGGACAGATCATTTGGTTAAAACAAGATCCTGTATCATGCCCCATGGTTTCTCGGATTATTCCCAGAATCAATCAGAGTATAAGTAACAAAAAGCAGAAATACAAAAGCCAAAAACTGAACCAGGTTTCTACATAGTTGTTGATTTTTGTTTTGTTTTGTTTTTTTCTTTTTTGGTATTGAGGATTAAACCTAGGACATTTCACTTGCTAGGCAAAGGCTTTGCCACTGAGCTACATCCCAGCCCTGTTGTTGATTTTGAATATCATGGATCCTCAAAGTGAATGTAGATACAATTCCATATTTTAGACAGGAGAAGAAAAAATAAGTACATAACAGTGACAAACTATATGGAATATTTTGTTTCAAACACAACAAGAATTATAAGCATATACCATTATTTTAATATTCTTCAACAGAGCTGTAGATGCTGAGGTCTTTCCTGAGATTTCCCAAGAAGACTTGGGAGCGATAAGAATGAGATTCAAATACAACTTGTAAGTGGGGTATGAGATGCCAAGATCTCCAAGATTCCACATGCCTTCGCTGTGCTTATGACAAAGCAGCTGGCTACACTGCACAGTCACTGAGCAAGTGAATAAAATTGAAAAGTTGGCCAACCATACAAGGATGTCAGGAGAGCACTGGCCTGAGACACAGAACCAAGAGTGTGAATGACTTTCCTCATGCCACAGTGCCAGAATTCTCTAGTCACTCAAGCTTGAAGCCTTTCAAGCATCTTTTATTCACTCCCTGATTTTTGCAGCTAATCAATCACTAAAGTCTGCTCAGTCTTCCTTTTCATTTATCCCACAAACTTTTTGGTTTAAATCTGTCTGAATGACAGCTGGGTAGTGACCAGAAAAAGAAAAAGAAAAAGATTCTTTCTCAGATTTTTACAGGGGTCTCGTCTCTTAACTAATAATATCTCTTTTCCAGCTTGTTCTTATCTCTAACTCATACCATGGTGAGTGGTGTTTGTCATAGCTTACTGAACTGTTTTCATGATAACCATGATGGCTGAGGTGAGCCCACATAAGGAGAACAATTGGTTTCTGAGAAGTTTCTATGCACTATGCACCATTCTAAGAGCATTGCAAGTGGTACACCATCAATTCTTACAAAATAAAGAACAATGCCTATGAAGAAGCTAGTTGAGTCTTCACTCCCACCATTCCTTTCTTTCCTTCCTTCCTTCCTTCCTTTTTTTTTAAACCAAAACAGAGGCTTAAAGAGATTAGGTAACTTGTCCAAGACCATATAGCCACCCAGAGGAGAAACCATGACTTGCATCATGGACTTAATCTGATTGCAGAGCCCAATACTATAAATCTTCAGTTTGGGGAGGGGGGGACGTTGTTGTTATTGTTGTCATTGTGGTTAGACTCTTAAAAAATGTATATGCATGTGTAAGGTATTATCATGAAACACCTTTGAACAATTAACCCTCCAGTGCAACTAATTGACACTAATTATTTTTTAATGGTGCTAGGTACAATGGCTCATACATGCAATCAGTATTCCCACTTTGTTAGGAAGCAGAGATGAGAAGGATAATGGTTTGAGGAAAGCTTGGTAAAAAGTTAATGAGTTGTACATCTCATTGTTGCAATGGGTCCACTTGTATCCCTATTTAAACGATCTGTTTTTTCCCTTCCCGTCCACAAATTATACCAACATCAAATACAATGAAAGCAGGGATTATACCATGGGAGAGGGACATACAAAGCAACAAAGAAATAATCTTATAAATATGTTAGAAACAATCGCATGAAAGAAAAAACATTTGAATACTTATCTTGGGGTTCATTTCACCTAAGGGGGGGAAGGGGGGAGATGGAAAGGGATGGGAAGGGGAAACAAAAGGGGAGGCAACAATGCTTGATAAGAAATGTACTCATTATCTTGCCCATGTAATTGTAACCCCTCTGTACAGTATTTTCACAATAAAAAAAAAGACCTGAAAAAAAAAGTTAATGAGATCTCCATCTCAACTGATTAACCAGTTGGGCAATGATGGCTTGTTGTTGTAATCTCAGCTACAGAGGAGGTATAAGCAAGAGGATTATAATCCCAAAATGACTTCGGGGGGAAATGTGAAGATAACTGAAGCAAAAAAAATACAAAAAGCTGAAGCGATGGATCAAGTGATTGAGCATCTTAGCAAATGCAATGCTGAACTCAACCTCAATACTTCTAAAAAGAATTAATCCCAAACGTTATGCTATGCAAAATTCTTCTAATATGATGGATGTAAAACCTAACTGCTCAAGCATTAAATACAAGACCCAGCAAATATTTCCATGTTCATTTCTGTGCATATGTAGTAACACACTTCCCCTAAAGTACCAACAGCTTCTGAGGACTGAGACCCCCTCTACATCCTCCTCTACCTGCTCCTCTGATGACTTCCTTCTTAGAGTTCCCTGTAGGAACCACGCATTACCTCCCCTGATGAAAATAATCAAGAGAACTCACCTCTGAAACCTGGCACACATTTCTACTTTGTTTGTTGTTGAAACCCTCTTATTTACCCTTTTTTTTTTTTTTTTTTTTTTTGCTGTTCCTGGAAGAATAGAATAGAATTCTCTTCCCTCAATCTTCAATGCCTTGTTCAATATCCAGTATATAATAGCACATATTCAAAAAGTATTTGTTTAATTGGCATAGGAAGGAAGGAAGGCATGGGGGGAGGGAGGGAGGAAAGGAAGAAGGATTGTGGTGGGATAAATGTGTAAATATTTATAATTGAGAATAAAAGTCTATTGTGGGAAAGCTCCTGGAGCACAGAAAAGTGCCTCTATTTTTATGTTTTTTCTTAATTATTATTATCTTTAAGTAGTTGTACAAAGAGGTTTCAATTCAGCCTGTCAATGTATACATACAATGAATCTTGAGCAGTGTCACCCTTTCTCTCATTCTCCCCTCATCATCTGCCCCAACCGGACCCATCTCCTCAAATTACCTGGTTCCACTGTCACACATGTACATTAAACATTATGACTGCATTCACCCACCATTTCTCTCATCATTCATCTGACCCCTCCCCTTAAGTCTTGCCTCTCTCAAACAAAATACGTTGGAGCTTCTGTTGCCTCTCAGCCTTTTCTCTCCCCTCCTACGGCTCTCTGCAGGTTGGCTTTCTTTGCCAAAACAATAGTTATAAATCACTCTATGGACACAATAAACTTTAACAAATCCTCACTGCCTGGAACATATGGTTTAGAATTCAAAGCAAGGCACTAGTGTTTTATCTAATCTTTATCAGATGACCCTTTCAACATCCTCCTTCCATTACAGCCTTACAGTAGCCCTCCTGCTCAACCAAACTGGTTTACTGGGTCTCTTGGTAAACCTAATCTCTCCTGGCATCCAGTTCTGTCTCCTTGGACATTCTTTTCTTTAATATTCCTTCCCCTCTAGCATATTCCTGCCTGCACTTCAAAACCTGAGCAAAACCCTGACACCTCCTCTAGGCCTTCCTCTGTTCATTCCTACACAAAGATATTTCTCTTGAATTTTTCTAGCTCCATTTCTAATCCCCACACACAATCTTAAGTGAATTGAACCCTTCTCTTCTAGCTGGTTTTCTGAAGAGTGATACACACAATCCTATAGCAGTTCAATTTTATAATGGGACAAAGGAATCATCTCCAGCCCCTGCTAGGCTAGGCCTTAGCACTACTTGACATTCTTTTCTGTGCCAGT